CACACACTCTATTTATATTACTCTCATAATCTAATTCATTGTTATATATCTGTTAAGATATATACGTATGTAAAGAATTGACTTTCAAAAATTTGAATGTAGTTGATATCCAGATTCCAACCTTAAAAGCGATTTCTACCACGTTTATGTAAGTGTCAAGATGAATAAACGAATTATTGAAAATACTAGGACCAAAATATTTAGATGAGTTAGTTACAAATCCTGAAAACAATTACAAAAAAAATTAGAACCCGCCATCGTTGGTTCTCTCTGGTATACCTATTCCATCAAAATTAGTGTTACCAAGGGATCCAAGGAATTTGTTGACGATAGCATGATTGTCTCTTCTTGAGCGACAACAGGCAAATTTATATCTAAATGAAGATCTGTTGGGGATCAAATTGGATACTTTTCAGAAACTTGCAATACTTGAACTACAGTGCTCGTGCATTTCTATAAAAAGGATTCCAAATATGTTAATATTTTTTAACAGTGTGAGTCCGAACTTCGAATATAAAACACGTATCCAACTGTGCACCTCTGTATAATTTTATATACTAGTAATAAGAACCCAGCGTTCAAAAACCACCTTCTGTACCAAATAGAATAACCCAGAGTAAGAAGTGGTAATGACGATTTCCATTAGGAGACACCATCTAAGGTATTGACAAAAATCCCAAACCATGAACATCATAAAAAATGAGAGTCCCATAGCCAATGATTGTAACGCTTTTGGGCGTATCTCTATTATACTATGTATTAATTGAGCTCACATATTGGTTTGTACTTAACTATGTCTTGATTCGAGTTTGGACACTTGAATAAAAAATATGAATGAAATTCTTGGGGCAGTCTAATAATTCAGTAGCTTTTTTTTAACCTTTTGAAAAAAAGGACTCATATACTTCAAGGAAAAATTGAGAACTCGGTTCAATTGATTTTTTCCAACTCATACTGAAAAAACTGAGCACAAAACTATTGTCTTTTTTGAAAACTCGGAAAATTAATCTTCAACACAAAAAGTTACTGTGGTTCAATGGATAATTGTCCAATAGCAAATCTTTATGATTTTTTGGTCAACCAATAAATCCAATAAAGATATCGGAATGGCCATTTTCATTTAATCAACATAAGTCACAGTGCAATCCTCTTTTATGTCATTTGCACCTCATTTACCACTTGAAATTATTTTTTTCTTCGAGAGAGTAGAGGAATTATAAAGATATCGGAATGGCCATTTTCATTTAATCAACTTAAGTCACAGTGCAATCCTCTTTTATGTCATTTGCACCTCATTTACCACTTGAAATTATTTTTTTCTTCGAGAGAGTAGAGGAATTATAAATATTTAACAACAATTTGGATAGTGTAAACTGGCCTATGGAATTGAAAATGGAGCAGTTACCATTCCAAATTAAACATCCATGCATTTACAACAAAATTTATTACAAAAATACATACAAAAAAATTTTCATGGGAGTCATAAAAATTTTGAAAGTATTCTGGAAGGGAATTCTGCAGATTATGGTTTCTTCATTTTGGATTCGAATATGAAACATTCATAATATTCAAACCTTTTTTGGAATATAATATAACAATTGTAATGATAAAGAAAGATTTTTTTAATGCGACTCCAACATAAATAAGCAATTTGTTGAAAATTGAGATGTATTTACATGACCAGCTTATGACAAATGATGCAAATATACAGATCCAATTAGAAAAGTTGTTAAATTTGAAAAGTATAGACTTCATTAAATAAATTTCGAAATTTCATTACAAAGTAACCATGGATCCGATTTTGGTAAACTCTTATCAAATAACTTTATTCCCAACAATTAGTCATTAATATTTATACTTCCGTTTATTACTATCATGAAATTAACCTTCAAATGTTGATTGACTATTTGCTGATGCACGATGTCACAAGTATTTCTTGATGAATATATGACATTATCTGCAATAATAATTCAGGTAAACGTGCGGTTTGCTTATTTATATCATTCTACATTTAGAATTGTAATAATCATATTGTGTGTTTTAGCATTTGTGTTCAAAATATAAAATTTATAATTAATTTTTGTAAAACCTAATCTTCAAGATGGTATAGTTTTTTTGATTTCAGGCTAAAAAGTGTAGAAATATTTTCAAAAACTATTCTGTTCTATTCAAGAGTTATCACAAACCTGCACAATTCCCATTCTCAATATCTGTCTAAAACGAACAGTCATATTTATTCATGCCAACATTTGATTTAAAAAATATTTATATATACATCAAATTTTCTAATTGTATAATAACAATATTAGAACAAAATGCACTACTGCCACAACCAAATAACACGTAATCACCAACATGCAAACAACAGATAAAGGAGGGAAAGAAATAAATGTTAGTAATATAGGGAGTTCTAAATATAATTACTATTCATTCAAAATATGCCGTCATATTGTAGATCATAAATATATGAAATCGAAGCAAATGAACCATATTTTATTTTATCGGAATTTGCAAAGGAAATCCACATTAAATCAATACAGACGGCACCATCACACCATGACAAAGAAGATAATAATTTACATTTCCAACAAAAAGCTACAGTCGATAAATATAATCTAAAAACTAAAAAGCTACACTGGTTTTGGCTTAAAATGTAAGACTAGCATATTCGAATTGAAGAATCAATCATAATACAATTAAAAAGCTAAAGTTTTGTTTTTTGAAAAAAAAATCAACTGAGATCATTTCCGGAAAAAGCATAACAATCAAACTAAATGGTATAAACATTTATAAATTATGTACTTGGAATTGAGATGAATGAAATAACATTGGTCCATTCGATGGAACAGAAACTGAATATGGGATGAGAAAACATGCAAGAGTTGAAAATGCTTTTGAAATTACGAGAAAATTATCACATGATTCTGTGCTTTCAATACTAGTTTAAAATTGTTTGTTAACAACAGAACGACTTCTTGGTATTGTTGATGTGAATAACTTTTTTTCACTTTCGAAACCCAAAAAATACAGTAATTAGACCCGTTTTGGTTTATATTTAATCTATAATGGAATGAACCTTAAGTGAAACTAATTTTGTATGTTGAACAATGAAAAATAAATAAATAAATAAATAAATAATAACAAAACTAATTGTTATGAAACTTACATAACCACATTTTGTGAATGAGTTAACTATACAATGTTTCAGTGTGTACCCAAGTTATAAAGTAATTTGAAAATCATTTTCCATAGAAACGACTTGTTTCTAAATCAATTTTCAAACACAGGAATTTGCTGATAATTTCAGTTATAATCATGTTTGCAAACGAAACCTTTGACATCTTCTATCCATAATAAATGGAAAAATCAAAATAATGAATTGCACATTCGTGTTATAAACTTTGACATCCTTACAAAAAATACTTTTCGAAAATTTAGAAATTTTGTTTCCTAGAAACCAATTGACTTCAAAGAGAATGCTTTCGTTACCTCTGCTTCAATTGTTATCATCTGAAATGATAAAACAAGTCCATAGAAAGCTGAACATTTTTTGTAATTATTTAGCAATATGTATGGACTTTTATTACAAAAGAGGCAAATGTTGACTAAATACCAATTGTGGTCTCGTCTGAATGAAAAAAAGGCAAGTTACTTGCAATGCAATGTTCAAAAAAAAAATATTACAATATTCTGAATAATATCTCTCAAAATCCATTAGTCAGGAAATTTGTTTTCCAGACTTGAGACATGTATCTAAAAATATATGAACGTTTTATTTTGTTAATAATTATTAAGGAAACTTACATGTACTCATATTCATTTCAAACAATTTTTATAGCGTTTTCTAATCCAATGATATTTTGAATGTCGTAGGAATCATGGCAATATAGTATAGTAGTAGAAGTAGTATGTAACTGTGTGTCAAAAGTAAATTTGAAAAACTACTGGTCCATAATATTCATTATACCAATATCAATATATTGTGTTATCATATACCTAACAAATTACATATGGGGATGTTCATTTTACTTTTTTTATAATTCTGATATTTAGCCACATCCCAAAATGAAATATACTAACTATCCTTGATTATGAACATATTGAATACCAAGTTTTTTTTTGTTAAGATGTCACGATATATCACATGCACATGGACACTGTAGATGAAAACTAAGCTGGAAAGTGTTATGAAGTAGTCCTCTGGGATATTATGTATGATAAAGTAGATGTAAATGTCGCCCTACTCATCCTAATAAAAAAAGAAAACTGCCCTTTATTTCAAATGCCCAATTCACGAATTACATTCTCATCTTTTTTTAATTAAACAACTCTGTGAAGTTAAGTGAAAAAAATTATATTGAATTATCAATATTACACTAAAAATCGAAGGTTTCAAATAAATTTCATATGAATAGGAATTTAGGATTGTAGGTAATCGAATGACATTTCAGTGAACATACAAATTTTTGTACACTGAAAGTAACTCTTCTATCGCGAACAGAAGAAATATTTTACCTATTATAATTTTCTTTATATAGTTTAGGAGGTGATATGATTCATTACAGAAAATCCGCAAATATATTTTCATTCCAATACTCCGATTTCAACCTTATTGTCATTACACTAAAATTCCATATAATAACGAGTTATTGGCAGTGACCCTTGCTAGAATATTTTTTCTAGAGTTTCCTCCATCTAAAATTTTTGCTAAATAAAATACTCATAACAAATTAGGAATCTTTTCCAAACTCTATTTAGTACAATAATTGAGAACTTCTTCAAAACGTTTTTGGTTTCTCTTTAATTTAAATAACTGATTCGGTCCCCATTCCCCTCCCATATATATCGTCCAACTCTCTCAATGTATTTAAAACATAATAACTATTGCTCCTGTGCAAACCTCTAGTTCTAGCTGCTGCACAACACCATTTTTCCACACTATCCTTAAATCTAGTGAACAAACCTACCACAAACCATAAGGTAGAAGAAGAGCTGCTCACCTCTCTGTTGTCCTGTTCTTGGGGATCGGTGAACTTGACCGAATGCGTCCGGCTAGCTTCATGCTCCAGCCAATCTTCGTCATCATCGTCTTCGGTTGCTCCATCTGTTCGAGACAAGGTACTACCATTAGAAAGACCTGGCGTGACGTCACAGCGATACAAGCGGCCATCAGAAGCTAGCGGGTGCACATAAAGACAGTAAATAGGTGCGTTAAACAGAAAAAAAACAAAAAAAACAAGAAGCCCAGAAGTGAAATGAGTGTGTGAAGAAAAAATGAGTGAGAGAGATTACCCAAACAGTGCTATTTACAATGTCGCTAATTGTTTGTGATAGATGAAGAAAGGGAACAATGACTTACATTGGGACACATAAAAGAAATCTAAATACATTTTTCCAGAGTAAAATTTTTATACATCTTCATTGAAGATGGCAGCTTTTTTAATGGCCATGTGGCCATTTACAAAGTCATAGAAGACAATAAGTATTCGATTTCGTGAAAAAGTGATAAAATTCATCAAATCAAACTGCCATCAGTCAACGAGTAAAACATTCATTACTAACATAAGACACATCTTGGCAGATATTGCTTAATAACTGCCAAGGCATAAAAGGAGTATAGACAAAAGCTTATTTAATATCACATGAACTGTCTTCAATTTTTTCAAAGTACAATAAAAAATGTTCACCACATTGCTAAAATACTTTGGTCACCTGATATTCAATTTTCAAGAGAGGTGTAGAGGGGATAGGCAAGTATTTCTTTTTTGTAGAAAACCTCAATCCTTAAACAATATATTAATGATCAGATTCCAAATGTAAAATAGCATTTGTAAATAATGCTGAAATGAAAAAATTAAAATTTTCGTCAGATTTCTGTCAGATATTGCAAATAAATATTACCTGTGCCTTCAAAATTGAATCACTGCAATTTATTGTAGGTCTGTTCTGCTAATGAAGTTTTTTCGTTCAACAATAAAATGGTTGATAGTGTATCTGAGTACATCTAATGATAATTAGTTACTCAAGTACGGCGGATTCTCATGTGACTTCACGTTTAACAATTAAGATCTGCATTGTAAATGCAGATACTATTTGCAGATACTACGTGGTAGGAGATCATCATAAAAATGAGAATTAACTCTTTCTATTTTTTTATACCACCTATTTTTGTAACTAAGGTTACTGCAGTTTCGTCCTACAAGGACATTTTCAACAGAAATACAATAAACTGAATTTTGTGTACCTGTGACGATGTGAATACGCTAATCTGAAAATACGGCGAGTAGACCAGATCAATTTGGTCATTTATACTAAAATTCCATAATACTAGGCACTAAATTATCAGAAATATTATTGCAATAAAACGAAAACATTGTTGTCAGGTTGTGATTATACATTTTATCATCTTCTATTTAAATCATACACACGCAGTTAATGGTCATAAAATAACGGACAACGTGTGTTATTCGTTAAAGAAACTGCTAATGAAACATATTCAACAGCATAATTGTTTATTAAATAGATATAAAGAATTTGAATTATATTCTGCGACTAAAATTTATAAATGGCAACGTTGCGTACACAGAGATGTTTGTAGGGCGGAAAAAAACAGCGGATTAAATTTACCGTAAGCCATCAGCATAGGTTAACATCCATGGGGGTAACATTCGTTGAATAACAAGTAGAGTAAATATTTTTCTATGATCTCTTATTATAATTTATTTATAAAGATTATTTATAATTCATTTATAAAAGATTTAGGTCTGTTTCAACACTGATAATAGTTTTGGAAGCTCTGTTATAAAAACTCTAAAATTCGAAATACTCTCTTTCAATAATAAAATAAATAATGATATTTTTGTATAATACCCACCCTAGATGAACATAAAAGAGGAATAAAACACTTGATGAGACTTGGTTGGAACAAAGCCATACTGTATCAAAGGTATGGCAAGGTTTAGAAATAAAAAGTTGTCGATAAGCTTTTATTGAAGGCCTCTTGACAGGATTAAAAGCGCCAGCTGACAAAGGACGGAGGCTCATAATAACTCATTAAGGCAGTGATTTGGGTTTTTTTTTGGAAAACGGCTTGTTAATCTTCGAGTCCAAGAAAACTAGCTACTATCACGAGAAAATGGATGCCCAAAAGTTACAAGTTGGTTTTTAAAGATTTTACCAAACATCGAACCAAACTCTGTCGTCGTCATGGTCAATGCTCCTACCACAGCAGACAATCGGAGCAGTCACTAACAACTGCCTGGCGAAAAACTAATATCATCAACTGGCTGTCTCAAAAAAATTAACCATTCGACGATAAAGTCCAATTACTCAATATTGCAAGGAAACATACCTCAGTTGAAGAAATATGTTGTCGACGAATTGATTCATCAGTCATTTCGCCTCTCTGCTTAGCATTGTGAGCTAACCCCGATCGAGCTAATATGGGCTCAAATAAAAAACCAAGTGGCGAGGAAAAATTCGACTTTTAAAATGGATGAGGTATAAGGCCTACTAGCTACTGCGATATAAAATGTCACACCCGAGTCATGGAAAAAATGCATTGGACATTTGATGAAAGAAGAAGACAAAAAGTGGGATCTCGACACTAGAATGATAATTGCAATTGAACAATTGATTATTACCTTGAATAATAGCGAACGCTATAGTTTCTCATCATCCGACGAGTTTTCTTCAGACGATATTAATAATACAGTACTGTAAGTAACTTCAAACTTTTTGCGGTGGCAGTGGTTTATGAGATTACTTCTTTTTGAGATTATTTGCAGAATTTTACAAAAATCAAGATAGACCACTTAAGGTCAATTTTACATAAATTAGATGGATTTTTTCTGAAATGCTGCAAATAATCGTAAAAACCATGTGATTATTCTAAATGTAAAAATTGGAATTTGAGTCTGAAAATTTGAATTGATGCCTTATTTTAGATTATAACATTTTGTATAAAGTTATGAAAAACCGTCTGTTATTACCGACTGTGGTGGTGTACATTGTTAATAATTTCGGTTAATTGTATTCGTTTGAAAATGTCCTCATAGGACGAAACTGCAGTAACGTTAGTTACAAATACAAGTGATATAAAAACATTGGAAGTTTCAATTCTCATTTTTTATTGGATACCCAAGAGAACCCATATTGCATTTCATCAGTTCGGACTTCCATTGTCTAATCCCTACTATCCCTACTTCCCTACTAATATTATAAATGCGAATGAAAGTTTGTTTGTTACGGTTTCACTGGTCACTGTTCCTCTTTTCACCGAAAATAATATTCATCAGAATCATCGTGAAATAATCAATGTCATTTGACAGTTTTTACGAATAATCAGTGGAATTCTCCTGATAAAAGAAGGAACACGTGGTACTGGGATCTTTCCTCACATGTAGTAGTAGTAGTCACATGTAGTATGAATGTATTTATTGTTATATGTTGTCTAAAATGAAAACTTAGGATACAGATTGTATCAGAAAGTGCTCTGGAGTATAAAATTGAACAAAATTTGGGAAATCTACAGATGTTTGGAATACAAACATAAGTTCGTGACATATTTTCAATCACTTCAATTATTTCTGTTCCGTCACAGTCGAATGATATCTAAACAAAAAATGATCATATAATTCTATCCTAACAGGATATATCCTGTTAGGTATAGAATTATATGAAGAACACTTTCGAATTTTTTCAGTTTTAACGTAGTTTTAGGATATTGAAAATATATTTATTCTTCTGTTATGTATCGGTAACTGGTCAAAAGCAGTAATTATCATCCCAGAAACGGCCAATTCAGAAATATAATGATTTTATATAAAGGAAAATTATACAAATTTACAGTTTTCTATGCATTCATCTCCAATTTACGTTAGAAATAATGAATTATGATTTTTTGAATACAATTACCAATTAATTTGGTGAAAATAAAATTTTCACAACATACATTTTATTCAAATCATATGAAGGAACAATTCGTTCAGGCCAGTTTCAACTCCCTACACTGTAGCTTGATGAACTGACACCTATCAGAAAACAACTACTCCCCTAGCTAATACCACGAAGGGCGTTGGATTCTATCCGACAGGTGTCAGTGAAGAATTCTTCACTGAAGTTATTTCTGCATATGCTGTTGGCGATACAACTGCCGCAATAGAGATATTGAAAGTTACATATGTAAACATTGCTCTAAAAAAGTTGTTAATAAAATTAAGTGCAAAAAGTGTCAAGAATATTTCCATCCAGCATGTTTCAAGCAGTCTGGGGAACAAAAAAAGGCTGACTGTAAACATGAAACTGACCAACCTAGTGAAGAATTGGCTCATCTATCTGAAGAAGCTTACCTTAAAGAAGAAAATAAATTACTAAGACAAATCATACTAGATAAAGACATAATCATTACCGACAAAGAACAGGTGATAAGTCTGCTACAGGAGAAAATTGCCTTCATGGAAGAAAAACCTGCCATAAATCAAATGAATTAAATAAAACATCAAACCCCAGGTTCCACTAAAATCACCAGATATGCGGATAAAACAAAAACAAACAAATTACCCAAAAAAAGTGAATATACAGAACAACACCTTGAAATTGATGATAAGTCTGAAATGGGGGAAAACACCAACTTTCAGGATGGCACACCTAAAAATAAAACACCCAAAGATAAAATCTCAATATTGGAACTGGGAAAAGAAAAGGAAAATATAAATCCAACATTGGAACTGGAAAACAAACAAAGAAAGATGATGACTGAGATTATTAATTTAAANTGTTACATCCAGTATGATTTGTTAATGGTATTCTACCCAACTTTTTGTACATACTTTTAAATACCCCCTTTTTCTAAAATATCTAATACGAGGCCATCTATTCTTATTTCTTCTACTGTCTCATAGATGGCCATAGTTGTCAAATTTCGTGCAGTAGGAGAGTAACAAAATTATTAAAATCGATATACTACGGCAATTATTCTATTGAAAGATATATTCACACTTCCAAACCGATCATGGTCATTTAATAATCTTATATCTAAATATTCATTAAGCTTATCTCTTTTGAATGCCACTATGAGGTAGGATATATTTTTATGGGTCCTGGAAACTTATTCGAATTATTAAAATATTGGATCTTCAAAAGAACTTACAGAAGCGTAGAAAGGCAAAATGTTAC